TGGAGCAGTTGCAACAGATCCCTCATGGAGAGTCTCTGTGAGCATTGCCTATACAGCTCAGGTTAAAGCGCTTGCAAGAGCTTACCAGAGAGCAGCCTCCCAGCCAAAATGAAATAAATGACAAGGTCCTGGAGACAAAGATAAACTGCAGTAATGTCAACTCCAGAATCAGTGATCAAACAGCAGAGTGGCCTGGTTTGTTGAAAAGGTATTACAGTGCGCAGTAAGTAGCAAGAGCTGAAAGGCAGGTCCTCTAGAGCTGAGAAATACCACAGATTCCAGATGGCTCAGATCAAGCAGTCCCTCTGCCTTAAAGTGATGAAAGAGACATAGGACAGTGCTGCCAAGTTTATTATAGATCACCGTAAGTGGGGCAAAATCTATATGGAAGCCCCAGCCTACATTGGCGTTCACAAGAGCAAGGGGTCAGTGACGCTCAGGGCAGGATGGATTGGCCGCACCCAAATGTGGGTGAATGAAGAGACTAATGATAATGCAAGAAGAGCCAGCAGATCTGTAATAATGGAGTCAGATGGAAGAGGCAGTCAGAAGAGATAGAAATTATCCTTAAGGAGAAAAGTTTCATCTTGGAGCTGAAAAGATCTATGGCAGTGTTAAGTAGCCTTTCTTTCATTAGTCTACTTCAGAAAGAAAGAAAAATGAAAATGTTTAATGACAGAATAGGGTTACTAAAGCTAACCTAAGCTGCTTCTGCCATTTCCCAAGTCATGTTCCAGACACAGATCTCTAGTAATTGGAGAAATGCATCTTCTGCAGGAAGGTTAGGGAGGATAGCACTGAAGAAGCAGTGGTGGGGCCAGCCCTGGGCCGAGGGTTCTTATCTGTGTGTTCACGCAAGTCCTCCTGACGATAATATTGGCTAGCTCTGATTAAATTGCTATACTGGCTTGAAAGGACACTACTATTTATTCACTGTTGCTTGTCAAGCAGCGTGCCAGGTGTTACCTACGTGGTCTTGTTCCATTGTCATGACCAGGTAGCTTGGTTCTGCTGGGGAAGGGAATGGTGCTTAAACCAAGTGTTGCAAAGGTGACTAGGCAGTCACTGGCCAGGGTGGGGAGGGGTGAGCAGAGGAAAGCCAACCCTCCTACTTTTGTATTAGGTCCTTCCCCCTGCTTCACCCCCCCACCTCCTCAAGGACAGTCCTATTGGCCACATCAGGAGTTTCCCTCTTATTCCAACCAACTTACAAACGTGCTAAACTGTTTCCTAACCTCAAAAACATCTTTCCCTGCTTCCTCCCTTCATCTGTTGCCCCATTTCTCTGTCTCCCCTAATAGCAAAAACAGTAGTCTCTATTCCATGACTCCACTCATTCTGTTTTCTCTTAAGCCCAGTGAAATCAGCCTTTCACCCCCACTCTCCAGTGAGCCAGCTCTTGTCAAGGTCAGGAGTAACCTCCATGTTGCCAAAGCCAGCTGTCAAGCCAGTGGCCACACCTTGCCAGGCCTTCCGCTGTGTTCAGTGCAGGTGGTTCCTATGTCCTTGAGACACTTCCTGGCCTTTGGCAACTGAGAGAGCACTCACTCTCTCCAGATTATTGTTCTGTCTCATGGACTGCTCCTTCCAGCCTCTCGCAGCCTCCTCACCTGCCAAACATTGATCCCTGAATGCACTCTCCCACTGGGCATCATTCAGTGATGCTCCCGTATTACAGAATCCAAACACGAGTGAAGCATTCATCATTCATCATGATCTGGATGCCTGCCTCTGCCACCTCATCTTTCACATAACGTTGGTGTGGTGCTCGGTGCTCTAGAGGCCAGCCAGCCCCTCCAAGTGTGCTTTCTCACCACATCCTCCCAAGGTCCCTGGGAATTGAGTGGTTCCCATTTGCAGATGAGGAAGCCGAGAATCAGATTTTCCATCACTTGCCCGAGTCACACCACTTGCCAATGTCCTCTGTGAAAGTTTCTCATTCCAGATCCTATGCTCTTCCCATTTATAACCCTTTGCTTGGCCTGATCCTTAAACTCCATGCTCCTGGGTGAAGCAGGGGCATGGAAGTGTGGTTCCTTCTCTTGGGTTCCAGTCTGTCTGCCTGGATTTCCTCTTGAGTGCAGCGGTTCACACTCTTCACCCCAGGGGCTTGGTAGTCACGTTTGTGGGACAATGGGTGCTCTTACTGGTTGAAATGCTAAATCTCCCAAAATGAAAGGCCAGCTGGAGAGTATGAGAAGAACAAGGGCTGAATGATTTGATCAGACATCTGTGGGGGCCTCCTGGCATTTGGAGTGTGAGTGCCTTAGAGAAACTAACTATTCTGGCCTGAGGGAGTTGGCGACTGTTAATCTTGGTGGTTTTGACCGCTAACTGCCCCTGAGGTCCCAGCCTGCTGTATGACTCAGAATCCCCAACACTCCCCCTATTCTTCTCTCCCTGGGGTAGTCAGGAGGCCACTGCTAAGGCATTTTAATTTGGTAATAACTTGACCTGGCACACTGTCCTCGGGGCTATATGTTTTAGAAGTTACTGTTGCCTTCTAAATGGGGGGTTGATTTAGAGCTGCTCATCCTCGACATCTGGCTACCTTGCACTATCGTGGGAAGAGCCTTCCCGGCTGGGTTCTGGCTTCCCTGTGCTCCAGCTGGCCAGTGCCCCCTCTTCTCCATGAGAGATTACCTGAGTCCGCAGACCTTGTGCTGCCCATGCTCCTTATTCCTGAAGCACTTCACCAGAGGTTGCTGGCGTAAACCAGAGAGGAAAGAAATGGCCAAAGGCTTGTCTGTTGTTGTATGTACATTGCTGTGGGGCACTGTGTTAGAGGGGCAACTGCCATCCATCTTTCGTCTTCAGTGTGAAACTTTCTGGAATCCAGAAAGAAAACAGGAACCCACAGTTACAAGGCAGGCACACAGATAGTGGGGGATTGGGAGGCACGGATAGGAGAGACTCACAGCACCTCGCTGCTTGTCTGCACACTTTCAAAGGGCGGTGGGAGGCCTTCCTGACCCTCTTCTCCATCCCCGTCTACCAACGCTGACCACTCCCGAGCTATCTGAGGACTCAGTGCTTCCCTGTGTGATGGCGCTTACCATGGTCCATGTTAGGAGCTCCTGCACTGCTGTGTGCCACTTTCCTGGCCGTAGGATCTTGGATAAGTTTCTGTATCTTTCTGAGCTCATGTGTAAATTAATAACTGATAGCACTTTACTCACATGGCTGTTGAAGAACTGAAAAAAATCTGTATTTCAGTCACTCTGCCTAGTCTAAGAGCTTCCCGCAAGTTCATCAGCTATACTGAAGTTTACATTTTGTTTCGGAAGTAAGTTGTTTACATAAGAAAATACTGTTACGTAAATTCTCTTGTTAAACTTTGACTTTCTTTGGCCTACCAAATAAAGTCTCAACTCTGGCTTAGCACGGGCATTTGCATCTGCATTTCTGGCTTTACATTTCATTGGTAGGAAAGGCTAAAAAAAAAAAAAAAAGTAAATTTCTGGAAGACATTGCACGTGGATACAGATGAATTTGTCTAAATTCAGTGAGCAGATCCTCTGTGCCCGGCGCTGGGCTAGGCCCACAGGGGCACACGAGTGAATCACACATGACACACGATAGGCAGCGGGATCATCGTTTCTGGCTCTCCAGGCCAGGCGCCAGCCCCCGTCCCCCCAGACCTGCCCCACCCAGTTCCTGCAGAAGGCAGCCCCGAGGGGAGACTTACCACGGGGCCCCAGCCCGGTAGAGCAGCTGGGCATCAGTGTTTTGGCCACGGGCCCAAGGGTGGAGGCGGGGGAGGTTGGGCCTGGGAACTGGCAGCCCGCCAGGGCTCCCTCAGGTGCCCCAGCACGCAGGGCCTCCCGCCTCGCAGTCGCTGAATGGGTCCTGTTCTTCCGCTGTAGTTTTCTCGGGACTGTACTGGCAAGAATTTTTGGTGGTGGGGCTGTGACTCCAGCCCTGCATGGAACACCTAAGGACATGGAAGCCCAAAGACGTGAAGTGATTTGACTGTAGCTGCCGCCGCAAAACCAGAGCTAGGACACACAAGTCTGAAAAAATATTCCGCAGATATTCAGCAAACACTCTGACTTGGGGGCTCCTGCAGTTGTCTTGATTTCAATACAAGTGCAGTGAGACTGTATCAGAGTCATTTTGTTCCATCAGAAAATTATAGGCATCTTCTGTGGGCCCATATCTTCACAAGGGACTGGAGGTGCAGGGTTAAATCAGACTCCAGCCTTGGGAATTTGCAGTATAATGAGGGAGACATACTACCAACTATTACAGTACAGTATGGCATGTAATGTGCGTGTCAGGGGGACGGACCATGGGGCAAAGGGGAGGCACTTAGCCCAACCTGGGGGTCGGGAGTTACTCCCCGTGAGGTTGAGACCTGAGCTTAGTTGTGAAGGACCAGTAGGCATAGCCAGGTGGAGAGGCACAAGGAAGAAGATTCCAGGCAGAGAGAATAGGAGAGCAGGAGAGTGTCTCCAACTAAATATCTAATCATTATAGTAATAGCCCCAACATATATTTGACTTCAGGACACTAAGAGTGGTTCCCACTGGCTGGGTCATTGAATGTCTGTGTGGAGAGAATAGAGGCAGGCATGGCTGGTATGTAGGGCCCCACAGTGAAGCTTGAAAGGGCAGTGCCTGTGACAGTCAAAGCCTGGGCAGCTCTCTCTCTAGGTCTCCAGGCTCCACTTGCCCACTCTGGGAGCCTGGATGGAGTTCCTGCTTTTCTTGGGATTAAGCTTGCTGCAAAGAATCTGTGCAAAACCCAGTGAGTTCCTTTTATGAAATTCTTTAAGAGGGGCCTTGCTAATTTATCTACCTATTATTCCTTTAGGGCTTTGGGTTTGGGATCCCCCCCGCCCCCCGCCACGAAGCCTTGGTATAGAAAAGGGGCTGAAAGGCTGATTGTAGAGAGTGAAGCTTTATTCAAAGTTTAAAAAAACCTACCACTCTTCAAGAACTAATACCTGCTGACTGCTCATTGCCTGGCAAGCTCTGACTTTCCTTCTCTTTCCATAGGCCTGCTGAGTTAGCCACCAAGTACGCAAACTTTTCAGAGGGAGCTTGTAAGCCTGGCTATGCTTCAGCCCTGATGACTGCCATCTTTCCCCGGTAAGTGCTCCTGTTTCTTCCCGCGGCCCAGATAGCCTGGTCCGTGGCCTGGGAGTCAGAAACCCAGTGTTGCACAAGTGATGTGCTCTGAGAACCCAAGACTCTGTGCTAACTTACCTCTGGGTTCTTGAGTCTGCGGGTGCCTGGAAAGGATTTGTTTTGGGTGGTTCCTACCCCAGTCCCATTCTGCGCTCTTGCTGTACCTTATCCCATCCTGCCTCTGGGAGCTTACACCTGCCAGCCCAGCCTGTCTCTGTGGAGGGGAGGGAGTGGGTCGAACCTACGTGGTTGCTGCTTGGAAGCCAGGTACCCAGGGGCAGCCAGACGAGGCTACCCAGCACAAAGGCTCCAAGCCATGGTATCAGAACTACGTGGCTTCGGGGAAGCATATCCAAATAAAGCAGGGAACAAAGAGGAGTTTCAGAGGCTGGCCGTTCCAGCACCTTCTCTCTTTGTCCATTTCGCATTCTGGAGTTCCCGACTTCCTGATACCAAGCTTGCTGAAAGAAGCTGTGCCAAACCCTGGGAGTTCCTTTTACCACTGCTGAGGGGCCTTGCTTCCATATCTGACTTTTCCTCTCAAGTTTTCTTTCCATGAAGCCGTAGTGTAGAGACGGTCCTGACATGCCAGGATGACTTTGTCTGCAGTCCGGAGTGCAGTGAGACTCTCAGGGTCATTTTGTTCCTTCAGAAAATTCTCGGAGTGTCTGACTTAGAATGACTGGAGGAAAGGCTGCCCTAGGATGCTCTGGGAGTCGGACTGTAGCACTTGCACCACAGGAGGAGTCCTGGAGGTGGCCTCTTGGGGTGGAATCTGTTCACTGGGGGAATGGCTTGCATCCCATCCCTGAGCAGGCTGATGATTAGGGCACACAATGTGCTTGCAGAGGAATGCTGAGAAACAGCTTGCCCAAAAGTAAATCCAGAATATTTGGTTTTTATGCTTCTTCTTTTTTTTTTAAGATTTTATTCATTTATTTGAGAGAGAGCACAAGCAGGGGGAGCAGCAGAGGGAGAGGGAGAAGCAGACTCTCCGCTGTGCAGGGAGCCTGATGCGGGACTCCATCCCAGGACCCTGAGATCATGACCTGAGCTGAAGGCAGACACTTAATCGACTGAGCCACCCAGGCGGCCCATCTCCTTTTCTTTTTCTAATGTGAGCAATCCAAGCTTAGCTCCTTGTCTAAAATAGGGGCTCTGCTAGCTGAATATCTGGTGTCCAGATGGAGAGCTCTTTGTCCAGGGTCTGCCTTCTGACTTCATTCCAAATAATTTTCTTCCCCCAGCTATTTATTGAGCACCTCTAAAGTGTCTGGTGCTATGTTCCATATTATTCTTATAAATGTTTTCTTAGGCTTACTTGACTCAGTCCTCTGGGCCAGACACCTGTGAGTTTTCCTTGACCTGGATATAGGTGTGGTTTGTCTTTTTTTTTTTTTTTTTACTTTTTCCAATTGAAAGTAACACAAGCATATGGTTAAAGAAATAATAACTGAAAATGTGCAAAAGGGTATATGCTCCTGCTCCAGATCCCTGCCCCAGAGAAGGCCAGTAGTACCATAAATAGAAGCATCACGTATTTATTGTTTTGTATCTTGCTTTTTGCTCCTAACAATGTATGTTAGAGATGATCCTCTTACCAGCATATATGGTAATCTTATTTGTTTAATGATTACATAACATATGACTGTATGGATACATCATAATTTTTTAAAAAGTAAGATTTATTGAAGTTTAATTTATGTGCAATAAAATTGACTTTTTGGTGTAGTTGTAGGGGTTTTGATAAATGCATACCTTTGAGCAACCACCACAACAGTCCAATAGAACATTTCTATCATCAGCCCCTGAAAGTTCCCTTGTGCTGCTTTGTAGTTAACCCCTCCCCTTACCCCCAGCCTCTGACGACCACTGATCAGTTTTCTGTCCCTGTAGTATTTCCAGAATTTTATATTAATGGAATCATACAGTGGGAAGCCTTTTGAGTGTGCCTCTTTCATTTGGTATAATGCATTTGAGATTCATATGTGTGTTGTGTGGGAAGCCTTTTGAGTGTGCCTCTTTCATTCGGTATAATGCATTTGAGATTCATATGTGTGTTGTATGTATCAGTTCCTTTTTATTGCTGAATGGCATTCCATTGTATGGATGTAACATAGTGTGTTCATCTACTCAGTAGTCAAAAGACATTTGGGTAAATTCTAGTTTGGGGTGATTATAATGAAAGCCATTATAAACATTTGTATATAGGATGTATGTTTAACTCTACAGGATTTTACCAAACTATTTTCCAAATTGACTGTACTGTTTTGCTTTCCTGCCATCAGTGGATAAGAGTTCCAGCTGCTCCACATCTCTGCATCAGTGTTTTTAGTTGCAGCTATCCTAATTTATAGTGATACCTCACTGTGGTTTTAATTTGCATTTTGCTAATGACTAATGATACTCAGCTTCATTTTCATGTGCTTATTTGGCATTCTTTTCTCTTTGAGGAGTTGTCCAAATCTCTTGCTGTTTTTTTAAATTGGTTGTCTTCTTATTGAATTGCAAGACAGCTTTACATATTCCGGTTAGAAGACCTCTGTAAGATGGATTTGCAGATATTTTCTTCCAGTCTGTGGCTTGTCTTTTCCTTCTCTTAATAATGTCTTTTACAGAGCAGAAGTTTTTAATCATGATGAAGTCCAGTTTATCAATTTTTTCTTTTATGGATTTTGCTTCTGGTGTTTTATCTAAGAAATCTTACCCTAGTCCAAAGTCAGAAGGTCTTTTCTTATGTTTTCTTCTAGAATTTTTATAGGTTTAGCTCTTACATTTAAGTCTATGACCTGTATCAAGTTAATTTTTGTATATAGTTTTGCATATGTACATTCAGTTGTTCCAGAACCATTTGTTGAACACTAGTCTGTCTTCGTTGAATTGTGTTGGTATATTTGTTGAAAATCAGCTAAACATATCCATGTGGGTCTCTTTCTGGAATCCTTGTTCCATTCCATGGATGTTTATGTCTATCCTTGTACCAATATCACACTAATATCATACATAGACAATCATGTCTCCTATTAATAAAGACAGTTTTATTTCTTCCTTTTCAATCTGGATGCCTCTTTTTCCTTTTTCTGGCTCATTGCACTGGCTGGACTCTTCAGTACAGTGTTGAATAGATGAGGTGAAAGTGAATATACTTGTCTTGTTTTCCAGTCTCAGGGGGAAAGCATTTAGTCTTTCACCATTATGGTGTTAGCTGTAGGTTTTTCCTAGATAACCTTTTCGGATAGAGGGAGTTCTCTTCTATTTCTGGTTTGTTGATAATGTTTATAATGAATAATGTTGAATTTTGTCAAATGCTTCTTTTTCGGCATCTTTTGACATGACTATGTGGCTTTTCTTCTTTAGTCTGTTAATATGGTGAATCACAATGATTTGTTTTTCATTGATTGATTTTTGAATGTTAAACCAACCTTTTATTACTGGAATAAACTTCATTTGACTCTAATATATTGTTCTTTTATATATTGCTGGGTTCAATTTAGTAATGTTTTATTAAGGATTTTTGTTTCTCTGTTCATCTGAAATATTGCCCCGGTAGAAATGTAATTCTTAATTTAAAAAACTTTCCCAGAGGGGCACCTGGGAGGGGCGCCTGGGTGGCTCAGTCATTAAGCGTCTGCCTTTGCCTCAGGTCATGATCCCGGGGTCCTGGGATCAAGCCCCGCATCGGGCTCCCTGCTCGGCAGGAAGCCTGCTTCTCCCTCTCCCACTCCCCCTGCTTGTGTTCCCTCTCTTGCTGTGTCTCTCTCTGTTAAATAAATAAAATCTTAAAAAAAAAAAAAAAAATTTTCATTTCTTTTAATAGATCTAGAGCTTTCATATTTTTATTCAGGTTTCCTATTTCTTCTTTGGTAGTTTATGCCTGACAGGGAATTTGTGGGTTTCATCTAAGTTGTTGAATATTCTGGCATAAAATACATAATTTATGTATTTTCTCTTTTTTTCCTAGTCTTTCTGGTTAGAGCTTTATCATTTTTATTGGTCTCCTCACAGAACTAGCTTTTGGGTTCATTGATTTTTCTCTTTTGGTATTTTTCTCACTATAATTGTTGTTTTCTGCTCTTATCTTTATTATTTCCTACCTTACAATTATTTGTTTAATTTTTTCCTTGTTTCTTGAGATAGACGATTAGACCACTGATTTGATGCCTTGATTCCTTGATTTCATGCTATAAATTTCCCTCTGTAAACTGTATCAGCTGGGGCGCCTGGGTGGCTGAGTCAGTTAAGTATCTGCCTTTGGCTCATGATCCCAGGGTCCTGGGATGGAGCCCCACATCAGGCTCCCTGCTCAGTGGGGAGTCTGCTTGTCCCTCTCCCTCTGCCCCTCCCCTCCAGCTTGTGCTCTTCCTCTCTCTCTCCTCTCAAATGAATAAAGTCTTTAAAAAAAAACTGTATCAGCTACATCCCACAAATTTTGATGTTATATTCTTATTTTCATTGAGTTAAAGGTATTTTCTAACTTCACTTGTGATTTCTACTTTAACCCATGGGTTCTTTTGAAGGATTTTGCTTAATTTCCAAATATTTGAGGATGTTCTAAATATCTTTGTGTTGCAGATACCTGGTTTATTTTTGTTGTGATCAGAGAATATTTTTTTATGATTTTAATACTTTTAAGTTGATTGAGAGCTTTGTTCCAGAATGTGGAATGTTGTGGAATAAAATGTGGTCCATTTTGGTGAATATTCTGTGTGCATTTGAAATTTTTATGTTGTTATTGGGTATTCTATAAATGGCAATTAGATTAGGTTGGTTGATACTGTGTTTCAAGTTTCTTATATCCTTACTGATTTTCCATCAGTTATTGACAGAGGGATGTTGAGGTCTCCATTTATTAGTTTTTGCTTCACATATTTTGAAGCTGTGCCATTTAGTGTATGTACATTTAGGATTGTTATACTCCCTTGCTGTGAACAGATTCCTTCAACGTTTTGAAATGTCCCTTT